AGGTCTTCACTCTTCTCCTGAACACCAGCAGGGAGGGGGCCGATCTAACGTTTGCGGGATGTGCATAAGATGTACATCATACCTGAATAAATTACACGAGGTAACAACATTCAGGGGGGGGGATATTTTCCTGGTTTGAAAGTGTTATTTCCTGTTTAATTGTGCAGTGCTTACTCTAAAAATAGTTGTTCTACGCCAGAAACTTCATTTTTATGGCTTTTTTTTTTTTTTGGTCATGTCAGGAGTGACTTCAGAAACTGCAAGTCGCTTCTGGCGTGGCTGCACAAACTATGTTGAATTGAATGTATTGTCGAAGGCTTTCATGGCTGGAATCACTCAGTTCTTGTGGGTTTTTTCGGTCTATATGGCCATGTTCTAGAGGCATTCTCTGACGTTTCGCCTGCATCTATGGCAAGCATCCTCAGAGGTAGTTCACCTCTGAGGAAGCTTGCCATAGATGCAGGTGAAACGTCAGGAGAAATGCTTCTAGAACATGGCCATATAGCCCGAAAAAACCCACAAGAACTGAGTATGTTGAATTGGCTGAGACTATGAAACATTCATTGAAAAACTAGCAAAATCTGTTGCAGGGTGTTCCACAAAAGCAAAACTTAATTTTTTAAAAAAAACTCCCATGTTTTTATGATACACCCAATTAGGAAATGGCATTGATAGCAGGAACAAAAATTGTGTTTCATTGTGTTTTTACTTGGGTCCCATCTCCAAGATGTCTCATTATGTAGAGGCAAAATATTCCAAAATCCAGGGGGAAAAGAAAATCCACACATAAGAGAGACATTAGGGTGCATCTACACTGTAGGAGCCTCCTCGTGGTGCAGCAGGTTAAACTGCTGAGCTGCTGAACTTGCTGACCAAAAAGGTTGGCAGTTTTAATCCGGGGAAGTGGAGTGAGCTCCCGCTGTTAGCCAGCCCAGCTTCCGCCAACCTAGCAGTTCAAAAATGTAATGCAAATGTAAGTAGATCAATAGGTACTGCTTGTGCGGGAAGGTAACAGTGCTCCATGCAGCCATTCTGGTCACATGACCTTGGAGGTGTCTACGGACAATGCTAGCTCTTCAGCTTAAAAAAGATCTAAAAACTGATCTTTTAAAAAACTGCATGACTTCTAAGAGTGTTGAGTTATTTGCAGGTATGTGACTCACACTTTGCCCATTAGTACATTTCCTCAGAAAATATTAAGCCAGGTCGGCCCCCACCCTCCTAACATTTCGAAAAAAAGTTTAAACCTGGCTTTTTGAGCAAGCTTTCCCAAATGCAGTGTAGCAGACAAACTCAGATCTTCGGAACGACTGGACAATGTGATTGGGTAATGAGTTGAGTAATGAGACGCTGTGGATTTAGACTTATTTTGTCAAATATTATTTATGCTAAATGTTTTAATTGTTCTTTGTTATTGTAGGCAGCAAATTGTACTGTTTGTAAACCGCCCTGAATTGCCTTCAGGCTGAGAAAGGCGGTATATCAATATTTATTTATTTATTTGTTTACAGTATTTATATTCCGCCCTTCTCACCCTGGAGGAGACTCAGGGCAGATTACAATGTACACATATATGGCAAACATTCAATGCCAAAGACGCACAACAGATATAGACAAACAGTCAGAGGCTATTTAACTTTTTCTGGCCGCCAGGGGAGCTGTTGCTTTCATCGTCCATCTGCAACGCTGATGAAGTACTTCCGCATTCCCCGCATGCTTTTGCTGGAGTCTTTTTTATGGCCTCGTAAATTTTGTTATATTTTTGGGGGCCCTGTGGCGCAGTGGGTTAAAGCACTGAGCTGCTCTGCTTGTTGACCAAAAGGTCGCAGGTTCGATTCCAGGGAGTGGCGTGAGCTTCCACTGTCAGCCCTAGCTTCTGCCAACCTAGCAGTTTGAAAACATGCAAATGTGAGTAGATCAATAGCTACCGCTCCGGCGGGAAGGTAACAGCGCTCCATGCGGTCATGCTGGCCACATGACCTTGGAGGTGTCTACGGACAACGCTGGCTCTTCGGCTTGGAAATGGAGATGAGCACCACACCCCAGAGTCAGACATGACTGGACTTAATGTCAGGGGACAACCTTTTTAACCTAAATTTTGTTAAATTAACCTCCCCACACATAGGTGCTACCTACTTTTCCTACTTGGCAGATGCAACTGTCTTTCGGGTTGCAAAGGTCGACAACAAGCTACACAACTGGTCGGAAGCTCACTCCGATTTGGGCTGGCTTCGAACTCATGACCTTGTGGTCAGAAGTGATCTTAATGCAGCTGACGCTCAGACAGCCCCGATGGTTAATAAATAAATAATAAATAATACTAGTCAGGCACGGCTAGACTTAATGCCAGGGGAAGCCTTTATCTTTAGCATACAGTGTAGAATGAATGCAGTTTTGGCACCTCTTTAACTGCCATGGCTGAATTCTATGGAATCATTGGATTTTCACAATGTTTTGAGCCTCTTCTGCCAAAATGTGCTGGTGCTTCACCAAAATACACGATTCTCTAGCATTGAGCCAAAGTGGGATCAAACTGCACTGATTCTTCTGATCGCTTTGCGTGCTGAGAGGTAAGAGGAGGGACACATTTGCGGGCGGACTTGCCAGGCTGTTGAGGGCGCGGCGAAGTGGGGGCGGAAGTGAAGGGTTTTGCGCATCCGGGCTCCCAGACAAGGTGCCCGGAGGCGGGGAAGTGGGCGAAAGGAGCGAGGGCGGGCGCGGCAAACAGAAACATAACGGAGCCAGACTGGGCTGCGGAGGAGGCAGGAGTCCCGGGCCCTGTCCTGGTAAGGGGTCACGAGGCGGGTGAGAGGGGCGTGGGACCTCCCTGGCTCTGCTTGGGAGCCTCTGCTTCATCTCCTGGGTCCAAAAGCAGGAAGGAGAAGGGAGTGGCTGGTTGCCATTGCCTCCAGGCTTCTTTCTCACACCTCTGGCTTTCCTTTAGCCATCCCTCCTTCTCCCTCTCCTCCTTTTCGCGGGATTGCTCTCCATCACAGCTCTGCACATTTAAGAATCATCAAATCTCCAGAGAGAGAGAGAGAATAAAACCAGAGTGCATTAATATAACTTACGATATAGCACAATATCTTATGTAATACTAATAGTATAATATACTGGTAGTGTAATTGTGGTATAATAATATGGTATAATCAGTGTGGAACACATCTCACCACACTAAAACAGTAGATGTGGCTCTTAATGAGACATGCCGCATTATCACAGGGTGTCTGCGCCCTACACCACTGGAGAAATTACACTACTTAGCCGGTATTGCACCACCTGACATCCGCCGGGAAGTAGCAGCCAATAGTGAAAGGACCAAGGCAGAGACATCTCCAGCTCATCCCCTGTTTGTGTATCAGCCAGCACGTCAACGACTTAAATCAAGACATAGTTTTCTTAGATCTACAGAGACACTCGCTGGAACACCCCAGCAAGCGAGAGTCCAAAAGTGGCAGGCCCAAACCCAGCACCTCAATCCATGGGTGATACCAGATGAGAGACTCCCCCCTGGGCACACAGAAGACTGGGCGACTTGGAAGGCGCTGAACAGACTGCGCTCTGGCACCGCGAGATGCAGAGCCAATCTTAAGAAATGGGGCTACAGGGTGGAATCCTCGGCATGCGAGTGCGGAGAAGAACAAACCACTGACCATCTGCTGCAATGCAACCTGAGCCCTGCCACATGCACAATGGAGGACCTTCTTGTGGCAACACCAGAGGCACTCCAAGTGGCCAGATACTGGTCAAAGGACATTTAATGAACTACCAAGTTTGCAAAATCTGTGTTTTTTTTCTTTTTGTTTTTAATCTGTGTGTTCTATTCTGTTAGAATTGTAACACAATGGTATGGTTGCTGATGACACGATAAATAAATAAATAAATAAATAAATATATCTATATAAATAAAAATGTAATGTACGTCTGTGGGATTAACATAACTCAAAAACCACTAGACAAATTGACACCAAATTTGGACACAATACACCTATCAGGCCAACGAGTGGCCATCACTCATAAAAAAACCTGGAAAACACAGCAGAAGAGACTTAAAAGCTAAAAAATAAAATAAAAAATACATTACAACGCATGCGCATAACCACATATATACACAAATATATACACACATATATACACATATACACAGACTAGGCCACAGCAACAAGCGGCAAGGGGCGTCTAGTAAAATAATATAATTGTATATTATATATTACATGTAAAATTACTAATAATATTGTAGTATAATGGTGGGGGGCCCTGGTGACACAGTGGGTTAAACCGCTGAGCTGCGAAACGTATAGAATCATAGAATCAAAGAGTTGGAAGAGACCTCATGGGCCATCCAGTCCAACCCCCTGCCAAGAAGCAGGAATATTGACCAAAGGGTCACAGGTTGGAATCCAGGGAGTGGCGTGAGCTTCCGCTGTCAGCCCCAGCTTCTGTCAACCTAGCAGTTCGAAAACATGCAAATGTAACTAGATCAATAAGTACCGCTCCGGTGGGTGGGAAGGTAATTGCGCTCCTTGCAGTCATGCCGGCCAGATGACCTAGGAGGTGTCTATGGACAATGCCGGATCTTCGCCTTAGAAATGGAGATGAGCACCGATCCCCAGAGTCGGTCACAACTGAACTTAATGTCAGGGGAAACCTTTACCTTTTGTTGTTCATTCATTCAGTCACTTCCCACTCTTCATGACTTTGTTGATCAGCCCTCGCCAGAGCTCCCTGTTGACCGCCACCTCCCCCAGCTCCTTAAGAGTCAAGCCAGTTACTTCAAGGATGCCATCCATCCATCTTGCCCTTGGTCGGGCCCTCTTCCTTTTTCCTTCCTTTTTCCCCAGCATACTTGTCTTCTCTATGCTTTCCTGTCTTACTATGTGGCCAAAATACTTCATCTTTGTCTCTAATAGATATCACTTCAGCGGGAAGGTAACAGCACTCCATGCAGTCATGCCAGCCACATGACCTAGGAGTTGTCTACAGACAGCGTCAGCTACCTTCTTTGCCTTCGTCTCTTTACTACAGAAAAATACCAAATGTGTCATCAAATTGCTAACAAAAAAGATACAAAAAGCCCCATGAACAGGCATGTAGCCGGGGGGGGGGGGCTCAGGGGGCTTCAGCCCCCCCCCAAAAAATTCTCATGGTGGTTCGCGCAAAGGCCTTACTGGTGCATTATTTAAACTGTTATGTTTATTCATATCATGATCTGATCACCATACTCAATATATCCCATATGCATGGGGGTATTGGGGTAATGATACAAAAGGTTTGCTAGGGTAGACCCTCTTTCACTCAGACTCAGCTCCCCCCCCCGAAACTCAGCCCCCCCGAAACCCCCCCCCCCTGAAATTTTTTTAGCCCCCCCCCCCCCAAAACGAAATCCTGGCTACGGCCCTGCCCATGAACATAATTTTCAGTGAAATTGGAGAAGGGTAGCATTAACTATCACGAAATCATGATCTAAGTTTATTTAATGCTTTAAATACATTTACCACTTGTATTTAGAGTTCTATAGCAGTTATTATTATACTTGCCTCACTTAGAAAGCATGGGACTCACAAGAAAGCGTCATACATTCCTTAGTTGATAACTCATAAATTTCCCATGGTATATTCATATTAATCATATTATTTTTTAACAATTTCATAGTGATTTCTTCCTTAGTATTTATACTGTCCTGATGATGATGATGATGATGATGATGATGATGATGATGATGATGATGATAAGTTTATTCTTGTATCCCACCACCATCTCTCCAAAGGTACTCAGGGTGGCTTACACATGGCAAAAGGTGCCTAAAACAGAGCATAAAATATAACACAGTATAAAATACAACAGAATAAAACACGTAAGCATATAAAAGAACAGCTAAAACTCAATAAAACTGTGCTCATCAACCAATGGTGGCAGGCTTCTGTAAATATGACCAGGCTGTAAACAATAGGACAAGGGAATGGGAGAAGTGCAGAGCTGTAACCATGGAAAGAGGGCATTGGAAGATGTGCAAGGCTGTGCAAAGTTTTGCTCTTTGGGGGTTTTTTTTTTTTTTTGTCTTTCTTTCATGGAAGCTTGTTTGGACTACATTAATTACCTTATAGGCTTCCTCCATGTGAATAGGAGTTCACTTTTTGAATAATAAGAATGATATGTCTGGGGGAGGGGGGCATCAGGAGTTTAGAGATGCTTGGGTGGAGCATGGGCAAAATAAGGTTGAGAACCACTTCTTGATGCTATGCTTGTGGGAATTTTGGTTTACAGGGTCTTTAGCCTTTGCAAAGAGTGACGGGGCCTTACCAAACTACAACTCCCATGATTCCATAACATTGGGGTGTAGCAGTTGAAGAGACGTCAAACTGCATTCATTCCAAAGTTAGAAGCCTGCCAGATTTTGGCAGTTATTTTTAGGATAATCATGTAATCATTGCCCATTTTTATCTGGGAAATACAGACCCCAAAAGTAAGATTTCCCAGCTCTTTCCTCTTCTGATTGTCCAATAGAGTTCACACACCCTGTAATGCAGGAAGAAAAAGAACCAGATAATTCTAGATAATTGCCTTTTTTATTTGTAGAAAGTTGGGAGCTTGTAGTCCTCACATAAAGAAGTTATTTCTTCTTGTCTTGCAAGTTTAAGCGTTGATTCTTCATTATGTGTACAGTTTTAGACATGCAGGTAGGGTGTGGTTAACACCGTCAAATTTTCCCCATCATGTTTTTGAGCTCTTCTCTAAAATGAAGCTGGCACATCAAAATTAAGAACCAGCACAGTACAGTCATGACAGTTTTGGAGAGACCTGGTTTGAAGTGACTTCAGACAATTCCCATTCTCTGAGCTACAGAGGAAGGCATGGGCAAACCTCTGAATACATCTTCCCAAGGAATCCCATGACATTACTTGAAGGAACACAACAATAAGCAAAACTGCAATATCTTCCATCCAAACTAGTGGCTGTTGTATTGCCAAATGGAAGAGAATGACAAAACTCAGTGCTGCAAACTAGCATTGGCCTTAGGGGAGAATAAGGCATTGGTCTCCTTAAAGGAAAATATTTCCCCTGACATTAAATCTAGTTGTGTCCAACTCAGGGTTGTGGTGCTCATCTCCATTTCTAAGCCGAAGAGCCGGCATTGTCCATAGACACCTCCAAGCTCATGTGGCCAGCATGACTGCATGGTGCACTGTTATCTTCCCACAGAAGCGGTACTTATTGATCTACTCACATTTGCATGTTTTTGAACTGTTAGGTTGGCAGAAGCTGGGCCTAACAGTGGGAACTCACCCCACTCCCTGGATTGGAACCGCTGACCTTTTGGTCAGCAAGTTCAGCAGCTCAGTGGTTTAACCCTCTGTGCCACCAGGGGCCCTATGTTATGTTAAACGTTATGTCTCCTTAGGTAAAGGTAAAAGTTTTCCCCTGACTTTAAGTCCAGTCTTGCCTGACTCTGGGGATAGGGGCTCATCTCCATTCCTAATAAAAGAGCCGGTGTTGTCGATAGACACCTCCAAGGTCATGTGGCTAGCATGTCTGCATGGAGCGCCATTACCTTCCCGCCTGAGCAGTACTTATTGATCTGCTCACATTTACATGTTTTCGAACTGCTGGGTTGGCAGAAGCTGGAGCTGACAGCTCACGCCGCTCCCTGGATTTGAACCTGTGAACTTATGTCTCCTTATGTTATGTTAAACGATTAGGCAAAAGTGATGGTCTTTGGTTCATAGTAGACGTAGTTAGAATATAGCTTCTGTCCTGCATGTATCCTCCCTCTCTTTTTGAGGAAAGTGTGTACTGCTTCTTCTAGAACCCTCCAACAATAGCAATTCAATCTTTATATCAGACTTTCTCAAACTCTGCTCCTCCAGATGTTTTGGACTTCAGCTCTCACAGTTCCTAACAGCTGGTAAGCTGGCTGGGATTTCTAGGAGCTGAAATCCAAAACACCTGGAGGAGCAGAGTTTGAGAAACACTGCTTTAAATGCATCACAGTGTCCTTTTATACCATTTAACATAAACACACGCCCATTTTATTTGGTCATTTGGAGGCAGTTGATACATCCTGTGCATAAAATTGGCTCACCCTGCTTTAGACTGAGTACAGTGTGAGAAAAGAAGTATGGGTAATGCCTACAAAGTTACATACTATTTTTTGTCATTTGTGTGTGTAACCAAGGCTATTCTGACATCAGCTTTAAAAAAGGAAGTACTATATTGTGAAATCCTGAAGCAGAGGGTAAACTCTTCTATCCTCATTAAAGATCTGGGATTTGAGGGCAGGATTTCAACCCTCAGTATTCAATCCAATTGATTTCCCTTGGTCCAGCGCTCAGAAACTTAGATCTTCACATGTTAGTGCATCACTTACGGAATTTTTTTTTTAATGTGGTAAAGAAAATACTTTCCCCTAGCTTTGTTAAGAATCACCACTTTGTACAATGCTCACTGTCATTTTTGCACTGTGCTAACTGCTTCTCTTCTGAATGAATTCTCCTTCATTCCTGTATAACAGTGGTTCTCAACCTGGGTCCCCAGATGTTTTTGACCTACAACTTTTGGCCATAAATCCCAGCCAGTTTACCAGCTGTTAGGATTTCTGGGAGTTGAAGGCCAAAAACATCTGGGGACCCCAGGTTGAGAACCACTGCTGTATAAGGTTCTATGATCCAAGCATACCTGAACTAGAAATCTAGAAATAGGAGTTGTGTTCCTTAGCTTTTCTTTTCTTTTTTTTTTTTTTTGGCGGATTATAAGTTGTCAAAACACAATACTGCTTTCCTTTCCATGTTGTGACAACAGATTTTTGATTTGCAAACACAAGCAACTGAGCAAGATTTGAGATGTATATATTTAAAATAACTCTTATGAATGTTTAATAAAAGACTTCTGTATAATTTCTCTATATCAAAGAAACTATTATAGTGGGTTCTTTGTATCCACTGTAGTTTGGTTCAAGGGCGCTCTGTAGATACCAAAAGCTGTTATGCACAATGGCAAAGTGATATGATGTCCCTTATATAAAATGGCAAAATCAAGATTTGCTTTTGGAATATATATCGGTGGATGGTTGAATCCATGGATGCAGAATCTGTAGATATGGAGAGCCAATTGTATTTCTGAATTGTCCAGTTTACGAGATTCCTGATTTGTAAGGCACTAAAGCACCTCATTCTTGATTCAGATATTATGTGAAATAGTTCTGTTATGCACCAGAATATAAGTGACAAAACTAGGCGTATGTCAAAAAGAGGAAAGCACATGAGCCCCTTGCTCATTCTTCAGTAGAAACTATGTTTTTCTTAATTTACTCTATTTATACCCTGCCTTTCTCTACCCCCGAAGGGGGTTCAAGGCAGCTTACATAGAGGCAATTATTCAATGCCTTAAAACACATACAATTCCAAAAAAATTAAATTAAATTAATTAAAATTAAAACATATTAAACATTTAAAATATTACATTCCATATTAAAAGCACACCATCCATAGTTATAGTCCCAAGCCCTTCCATAGTCATTCCATATATTCCAAATCTATTATTAATTTATGTTTTCAGGAGCTAACCAAACCAGTTGTATTGCATTATATTTATTTATATATTTATTGTGTCAGGGGCAACCAGACAATTGTATTACATTTCTAACAGAACAAAACAAACAAACAGACAAAAACCACAAAATTTGCAAGCTTGGTAGTTGATTAAATGTCCTTTGACCAGTAACTGGCCACTTGGAGTGCCTCTGGTGTTGCCACAAGATGGTCCTCCATTGTGCATGTAGCAGAGCTCAGGTTGCATTGCAGCAGGTGGTCAGTGGTTTGCTCTTCTCCACACTCGCATGTTGTGGATTCCACTTTGTAGCCCCTTTTCTTAAGATTGGCTCTGCATCTTGTGGTGCCAGTGTGCAGTCTGTTCAGCGCCTTCCAAGTTGCCCAGTCTTCTGTGTGCCCAGGGGGGAGTCTCTCATTTGGTATCAGCCACTGGTTGAGGTTCTGGGTTTGAGCCTGCCACTTTTGGACTCTCGCTTGCTGGGGTGTTCCAGCGAATGTCTCTGTAGATCTTAGAAAACAAATCTGTTAACTGCACTGCACTATTCTCAAAAGGCCTGATCCCACAGCCAAGCTTTTACCTTTCTTCTGAAGGCTAGTGGGGAGGGGCCTTCTCGGTGGTGGCCCCTCGGCTGTGGAACGCCCTTCCCACGGACATCAGATTGGCCCCCTTTTTGATGGTATTCCGGAGGAAAGTGAAAACCTGGTTATTTGAACAGGTGTTTGAATAAGCAGTGCAATGAATTTCAGGAAATGGAACTACGACTGACGAGTTTGGATCATGATTCTAGCTATGAGACGCCACTGAATGTTTATTACTGTTAAATTGTTTAATTTGTTTCTGTGTTAACTGTTTTTAAGTACCTTGTTGATGCTGCATTGAATTTTTGCCTTGATTGTTCGCCTTGTTTTTGCTTGTTGTAAACCGCTTTGAGTCGCCTTAGGGCTGAGAATGGCGGTATACAAATGAAGTAAATAAATAAATAATAAATAAATAATGTCACTGGGGAGGGAGTTCCATACCCAAGGGGCCACTACTGTGAAGACCTTGTTTCTCGTTTCCACCAGTCACACCTGTGAAGGAGATGGGACTGAGAGCAAGGCCTCCCCAGACCATATTAATCTCCAAGATAGCCAAATCTCATTATGTCTGGACTAAGCCTATGTGAGAAGCATGTATGCTATTGCTAAATGGTTTTTAAATATTCTTCTTATCAAAAGAATATCAAAAATGACTCTGCTTACTTTTTCTTGTTATTTGTTTAGACAGCGTGTAGAGGCAGATTTGCCTTTGGAAACTTACCTGAACAGCTTTGATGCCTGATGATTCTTCCAAAAAGAAGAAATGACTTAATCAGCCCTACTTTGCTCTTCCAATTTGGACATGCAGCCCTTGTCATAGAGATGAAAACATACACCAGATGGAAAGGCATACCTGAAAGGAACCATATAAAATAGGATTGTGCACCTGGTGGTTACAGAATGGGGGTGCTTTGTTCTGTTATCAGGTTTGAAAACCTCCATGAACTGCGAAGACTGTGCCACTGGGGGCCTATCATAGCTCTCAGTGTAATCGCAATATGCTCTGCCATGGCTATGATTGATGCCGTTCTGTGGTACTGGCCGCTGGACACGACAGGAGGAAGCATCAATTTCATCATGCTCATCAACTGGACTGTTATGATCCTTTACAATTACTTCAATGCCATGTTTGTGGGCCCTGGCTATGTTCCCGTTGGATGGAAACCAGTAAGCAAAATGACCATAGTGAATGTATTAATGCTATTGCCTCACCCATGTTAGTGATCAATCCAAGCCCTATTGGCTTAGAGCAAGCTTGTCATTTGTATAATCAGGTCAGATAGTAACTCAGTTTTCCCCACATGGGGAATTCAGTTACTATTTGATCATGTTTCCTAAATGCATTATCAGTTCCCCAGACTGATTGATTGGTCACCCGTTGGTTTGCAATAAGTAGAAATTGTGCCCAAAAGACAGGATGTAACTCTGTCACTGCACTGTGTATGCATTAGTTGTCAGACACATTTCAACCCTTTTCAGTCCGACCAAGTAAATCCAAACTGTTTTTTGAAAAATAGTGTTTTAAATGTAATTGAATTGGACATCATTAGAAAAGTCTGGCTACTTTAATGTGATATTTATTTAAAAGGATGTTACTAGGACTGGGTGGAGAAGATTGGCCTTGTAAAAAATGGAAGAAATGTCTGTAATCTGAAATAAATATTATTTTATTTATATAAGTTTCTTCCTATTGCATAATCGATTGCTACTTATGGATTAATTTTTCTATATGAGAGCCAGTATGCTATAGTGGTTTGAGTATTGGATTTGGACTGTAGAAGACCAGACTGAATCCTCACTTAGCCATAGAAACCCAGTGGTTGATCTTGGGTGAGTCGCACTCTCTCAGCCTAAAGAGGAAGGCAGTAGCAAACTACCTCTGAATAGCTCTTGCCAAGAGAATCCCATAAGAGGTCCCCCTAACATAACTATAAGTCAAAAATAACTTGAAAACATGCGAGAACATTAATATACAATTTTTTTTCTGCTGTCAAGTTGGTAGTGTACTTTTTTATTTTAAAATTGCCTCTTGGCTGAAGGGCGTGATTGTTAGCCTTACACTCTGCCCCACTAAAAGTGTTGCCACATCCATCCATACATAATAATAAATGAAGGCAGTGATAAGATATCGTCTGCAAACTTGCTCACTCCTTAACTGCCTTCTCTTTATTTCTTTGAGGAAAACTCTCAGGACTGCATGTATCTTCAATACTGTAAAATATGCCAGTCTTACAAGGCTCCGCGGTCACATCACTGCCGAAAATGTAACAGGTACTACAAATACATATATTGTTCAGCTTATTTATCATGTCAGAAGCGAATTGAAGATACAGTGTATTTAAAAACACAAACAAAGTTTAAAAACTTGCCATTATGCTAAATGTCCTTTGACCAGAAGCTGCCCACTTGGAGTGCCTCTGGTGTTACTCTGTGCATGTGGCCGGGTTCAGGTTGCATCATAGTAGGTGGTCTGTGCTTTGCTCTTCTTCATACTCGCATGTCGTGGACTCCACTTTGTAGCCCCATTTCTTAAAGCTCTGCATCTCATGGTGCCAGAGTGCAACCTGTTCAGTGCCTTCTGGGTTTTCACCTGCCACTTTTGGACTCTCACTTACTGGGGTGTTCCTGCGCATATCTGTGTAGATCTGAGGAAGCTATTTCTTGATTGAAGGCATTGGCTTGCTGGCTGATATCCAAACAGAGGATGGGCTAGAGAAGTCAATGCCTCATTACAGGCTGCTACTTCCCAACGGATGTCAGATGGTGCAATACCGGCTAAACAGTATAATTTCTCCAGTGGTGTAGAGTGTAGACATCCTGTGATAATGTGGCGTGTCTCATTAAGAGCCACATCCACTGTTTTTAATGTGATTAAATGTATTCCAAACTGGCCATGCATACTCAGCAGAAGAGTACCAAAGCACAAGAGCAGATGTCTTCACTGTGTCTGGTTGTAATCCCCAGGTTGTGCCAGTCAGCTTTCATACGATATTATTTCTATTACCCACTTTTGCTTGATATTCAAGCAGTGCTTCTTGTAAGTCAGAGCACGGTCCAGAGTAACTACTAGGTATTTGGGTGTGCTGCAATGCTCCAGTGGGATTCCTTCCCACGTAATCCTCAGAGCTCAAGATGCTTGTCTGTTCTTATGGTGAAAAGCACACGCCTGCATTTTAGATGGATTAGGAATCAGCTGGTTTTCCCTGTAATGGGCAGTAAAAACACCTAAGGCTTCAGAGAGCTTCTGTTCAACCATTTCAAAGCTCCCTGCTTGAGCGGTATGGCATGATCGTCACCATAGATGAAACTCTCTGCCCCTTCTGGCAGTGGCTAGTCATTTGTGTAAATGTTAAACATTGATGGAGCAAGCACATTCTCCTGGGTATTGAAGTGGGTGCTAATTTTACAGTGTTGTTCAACTGTACAATTAGCACCCACTTCATCATGTAATATAACAGCTTTAAAATACATTCTGGTATTTCTTGGAATGTAGAAAAAGATGCTTGCATTATACTTCACATGTAGTCTTTCCGCCTGTCTTTAAGCCTGCTTTTAAATACTCAGATTTATTTTGAAAATGGTGTTGATAGTGGGGAACGAGAGTAGCCAGGACTTGGCAGGTGCTATTCTTCTAGAACAGGAGTATTAAACTTGGATTGTTTCTTAGGTGTGTGATGAAGATGGACCATCACTGTCCTTGGATCAATAACTGCTGCGGGTTTCAAAACCATGCCTCCTTCACTCTGTTTCTTCTTCTGGCTCCACTTGGATGTATCCATGCTGCTTTCATTTTTATCATGACCATGTACACTCAGCTTTATAACAGGGTAAGAAGATATATTGTTGAAGGCTTTCATGGGTGGAATCACTGGGTTGTTGTAGTTTTTTCGGGCTGTATGTTCATGTTCTAGAAGCATTCTCTACTGACATTTCACCTGCATCTATGGCAAGCATCCTCAGAGTTTGTGAGGTCTACCTCACAACCTCTGAGGATGCCTGCCATAGATGCAGGCAAAACGTCAGGAGAGAATGTTTCTAGAACATGGCCATACAGCCTGAAAAACCTACAACAACCCAGGGTAAGTAGATGTTGGTGTGACTGTCCTTATCATACACACAACTGAATTAATTTACTTCTGGAAATACTGCTTCCTTCTTAGCGCTTCAACCTTCTCACATTTGTATTGTCAGGTATCTTTTGGTCTGCACCTGACTTGCTTTATAAGCCAGAATCTTTTTATTCCTTCTTGGTATCAAACCCAGGCAATAGGCATTTCTTCTTGCCTACAATAAATTGGCAGAGTTGAGAATTAACTTCATACAGCCTTTCTGGAATTTGCCATGGGTTGTTCCACTGCCACCCTTTCCCATTATTGCAAGTTGTTGGCATATGGTGTCACTATGTTTTGAATTAGCAAAAACTTCAGGAAACAGCTTAATTTGTTGTCAGCCTCAAGTAATATGGCCTGCTACCAAATTCTAGCAGGCCAGTATCTTTGGGCCTCCAAGATGAGGGTGAAGATTGCCGATCTTTCTTAAATCTGTCCCTAAAAAATGTGATGAATTTTGCATACCTGCAAACATTTCTTAATCATGTTCCTAGATTTGTTTTACTCTGTTAAACTGTTTCCCTGAATTTCTGTATTTTTCCGATGTCTCCCTGCAGGTATCCTTTGGCTGGAGTTCTGTTAGGATTGATATGAGTGCGGCCCGAAGAGACCCTCGCCCAATCATTCCTTTTGGATTATCTGCATTCGCTGCTTCTTTATTTGCTTTGGGATTGGCACTGGGGACGACAATAGCAGTAGGCATGTTGTTCTTTATCCAGGTGAGTCTATTTTGTTACAAAACAAGAAATTTTGAAAATTGGGAATAATCAGTTTTTTAAGGAGAGTGGGAGTTGTTCTTTCTGCTTTCTTATATTGTAAATTATCCCTTATTCTTAAGATCTCTCCTCCCCATCTGATTGGGCCAATTTTTGGAAAGCAGTTTCCTGTATCTTAACCTATGCTTTGATGTTAAGAAGGCCTGCCAAGTAGAGGAGGGTGTGCCTTGCATGCTTAAGTGAATGAGGCATGGTGAAGTGAACATGAGAGAGGATGATAATTTGTGGAAATTCCTTGCAGTACTCACTGGCACAGTGAAATAAGCTGCTCTGCAGGTCTCTGTGCTGGCTTGCTTGCCTCTGCTCCAATCTGACATTGCTTTGGGCAGCTCTCCTTATAGACTTAGAAGTAGAAGAAGACAGGTTAGGTTGAGACAGCATACCGCATGCTGAAGCTGTTATTACTTCTCTCTGTCTTTCACTTTTAAACTGCATCTCCCAAGAACCAACCATTGGCCCTTTGAGGAAAGGATGTGAAACTCATGTGGGATAGTGATGAGGCATGGTGTGTCTAATCCCTCCTCAACCAGAACTAAAGTGAATGTCAGTGTTCTAATCACATTCTGAAATAGTAATTTTGGTCAGATATTCTGGCATTTGCTTCTTCACGATCTCTTGTGATAGCAAGGTATGTAGCACTCTCCAAAACACCCATATCTTGTGTTGTCAAAGGCTTTCCTAGCCGGAATCACTGGGATGCTGTGAGTTTTCCAGGCTGTATGGCGATGCTCCAGAAGCATACTCTCCTGACATTTTGTCCACATCTGGCAGGCATCCTCAGAGGTTGAGGGGTCTGTTGGAACCTAGGCAAGTGAGGTTTATATATCTGTGGAATGTCAACAATGGGAGAAAAAACTCTACCCTGCTTGAGAAATGTGTGAATTTTGCAATTGGCCACTGCGAGGAGGTGATCAGAGTGGAGAGAAAGCACACGCTGCTGTCGTGTGACAGGAGAGTAGAGGGAGATTTATTGTTTATTTCTCTGAATTCTTCCACCAACTGGTATAGTGGAGACCAATTGTTATATGAAATCTATGGTAACTGCCACCAACGTGAGATATGAAGTATTACTGTGAGATATGTCAATACAGACGCAGAATGGATGGAGATGAGACTGTCTCCAACAAAAGATAACTGGTTTATTGAGTACAAAGCGTGTGGTTACAAGTTGTAACTTAATTTATAGAACTTTGAATAATACTTGATTAGTTAAACATTTCACTCTTCCAGGTTACACAGTATCTCACTGAGGTGAAGCTCTTATTACTAAACAATGTTTCAGTACAGGAATATCTTCCCTATTTCATCTTTCCTTGATCAAATAAATTAACAAGCTTATCCTTTAGCCTTTCCCTTTACTAAAGAAAACTGGCTATGTTTCTCCTTTCAGCCTCCTTAGACTGAGAAACCTCCAGTAGCTATTCAGGCTTCCCAAAGCCACAATTCTTTGCTTCACACTTCACTCCCCCACTCTACTCTTCACTTCCACTCTTTTACTCCTCTCAGATACAAAATCAACTCCTAACTGACTCTCAAACTGTCTGTTTTCAAAACTCTCTCCACTTGGCTCCTCCCACTCCTCCTTCTGCCAGCTTGCCTTGGTCTCCATGGTAACGCTGACTGAGGATCTCTAAAATAGGCTGCTCCAGTGTTACTGTAGCTAACCCAAACACATATATATACAGTTTAAAACATGCAAAGTATTAATAACTTCTGCACAGCCACCTTGATTAGCATTTAATGGCCTTGCAGCTTCAAAGCCTGGCTGGTTGCTGCCCAGGAAATACTTTGTTGGGAGGTGTTAGCTGGCTCTCATTGAATCTTGTCCGGAATCCCCCTGTTTTTATGAGTGTTGGTCTTTATTTGCTGTCCTGACTTCAGAGTTTTTAAATACTGGTAGCCAGATTTTGTTCATTTTATGGTTTTCTCCTTTTTGTTGAAATTGTCCACATGGCTGGGGATTTCAATGGCTTCTCTGTGTAGTCTTGATATGGTGGTTGTTAGAATGGTCCAACATTTCTGTGTTCTCAAATAATATGCTGTGTCCAGGTTGGTTCATCAGGTGCTCTGTTATGGCTGACTCCTCTGGTTGAATTAGTGTGCAGCGCCTTTCCTGTTCCTTGATTTGTGTTTGGGCTCTGTGTTTGGTGGTCCCTATGTAGACTTGTCCACATCTGCATGGTATATGATAGATTCCACCAAGAAAATCCAACAAATGCTACTTTCAGCAAAGGACAAGAGGGATCCTCTCACCTCTGCAGGAGTCTACTATATACCATGCAGCTTAGGATCGAGGACCTGTATATGTATGTACATATGTGTGTGTATACAGGTGCGTATATATATATATATATATATATACACACACACACTTTTCCGTGTACCTCGAGCTATAGATAGATAGATAGAGTTAGATATGGGTGGAGCTACCCTGAAAATTGTACCTGTTTTCACTTGCAAACAAATTCGACTTAAGAACAAATCTCCAGAACCTATCTTGTCTTTAACTTGGGGGCCAGCATGTACACATTATGAGTATACTAGCTTGGGGACCCGGCGTTGCCCGGGTTATTAGAGAAAGTGGGTAATGGCGGTTCTGTATGCCAAGTTTGGTCTTTATTGGTCTTTGGATAACGGCTGCATTATTTTCAGGAAGTGAGTGAAGGTACTTGAAGTCCCATCATCCATGGGCCATCCTCCTACAAACAGCAGCAGGATATAGAGTGGTCATGGGGGCTCTGTGTGCCAAGTTTGGTCTTTATCAGTCATTAGATGAGGGTGGCAGTGGTGTCAGTAAGTGAGTGAAGATACTGCAAGTCCCATCATCCAAAGTCCATCCCCTTTCAAACTGCAGCAGGATGTAGAGTGGATCATGGGGGCTCTGTGTGCCAAGTGTGGTCTTGATTGGTCATTAGAAGAGGGTTGCAGCAATCTTCGGAAGGGAGTGGAGGTACTTGAAGTCCCATCATCCATGGTCTGTCCTCCTCCAAACTGCACCAGGATGTAGAGTGGGTCATTGGAGCTCCATGTGCCAAGTGTAGTCTTGATTAGTCATTGGCGAGGGTCTCAGTGGTCTCAGGAAGTGAGCAAAGGTACTGCAAGTCCCATCATCCATCTCCAAAGTTTTCCAAACAACACCAGGACGTAACGTGGGTCATGAGAGGTCTATGTGCCAAGTTTGGTCTTGATCCGTCATTGGATGAGGTTTGCAGAGGTCTCAGAATGTGAGTGAAGGTACTGGAAGTTCCATCATCCATGGTCCACCCTTCTCCAAAACTTCAGCAGGATGTAGAGTGGGTCATGGGGGCTCTGTGTGCCAACTTTGGTCTTGATTGGTCATTAGATGAGTTTTGCAGCAGTCTTGTGTAGTGTAGGTACTTGAAGTCCCATCATCCATGGTCTGTCATCCTCCAAACTGCTCCAGGATATAGAGTGGGTCATTGAAGCTCCATGTGCCAAGTTTAGTCTTGATGAGTCATTGGCAAGGGTCTCAGTGGTCTCAGGAAGTGAGTGAAGTGACTGCAAGTCCCATCATCCATTGTTAAATTCTTCCAAACCGCACCAGGATGTAGAGTGGGTCATGCTGGGTCTCTGTGTAAATTGTGGTCCTGATCCATCATCGTTGGCAGTTGTAATGGTCTTAGGAAGGGAGTGCAGGTATTGCAAGTCCCATCGTCCATGGTGCATCCTCCTTCAAACTGCACCTGGATGTAGAGTGTGTCATGGAGACTCAGTGTGCCAAGTTTGGTATTTATTGGTAATTGGATGAGGGTTGCAGTGGTCTGAAGAATTGAGCAATGGTACTGCAAGTCCCATAATCCACGGTCCATCCCCGGCCAAACCACACCAGGACGTAAAGTGGGTCATGAGAGGTCTATGTGCGAAGTTTGGTCCTGATCAGTCATTGGATAAGGTTAACAGCGGTCTCAGAATGTGAGTGGTGGTACTGCAAGTCCCATCATCCATGGTTCATACTCCTCCAAACTGCAGTAGGATGTAGAGTGGGTGATGGGGGCTCTGTGTGCCTATTTGGTCTGTATTGGTAGTGTTCTGACCCAGCCCCCGGCCTTTCCTTTCCTCTCTTTCTCATCTCGGAATCTTGTATTTGAGGCTGGCCAATCAGAGACCATATGCAAATTTCCTTCTGTCATGCCCCGTTTCTGCCATGAACCCTCTTCTCCACCAGGGGCTCCTATTGAAGGTGGCCAATCAGAGACCATATGCAAATAGCACCACAGCGGCAGCCAATCAGAATCTTGGAACTTTCAGGCTAGCCAATCGGAAAGCTGCCACAAACACGTCCGCCCTCCACACTTCTGCCCTTCCACTACAAACACTCTCTTTTATTATATACTAGCTTGGGGACCCGGCGTTGCCCGGGTTATTAGAGAAAGTGGGTAATGGTGGTTCTGTATGCCAAGTTTGGTCTTTATTGGTCTTTGGATAATGGCTGCATTATTTTCAGGAAGTGAGTGAAGGTACTTGAAGTCCCATCATCTATGGGCCATCCTCCTACAAACAGCAGCAGGATATAGAGTGGGTCATGGGGGCTCTGTGTGCCAAGTTTGGTCTTTTTCAGTCATTAGATGAGGGTGTCAGTGGTGTCAGTAAGTGAGTGAAGGTAGTGCAAGTCCCATCATCCAAAGTCCATCCCCTTTCAAACTGCAGCAGGATGTAGAGTGGATCATGGGGGCTCTGTGTGCCAAGTGTGGTCTTGATTGGTCATTAGAAGAGGGTTGCAGCAATCTTCGGAAGGGAGTGGAGGTACTTGAAGTCCCATCATCCATGGTCTGTCCTCCAAACTGCACCAGGATGTAGAGTGGGTCATTGGAGCTCCATGTGCCAAGTGTAGTCTTGATTAGTCATTGGCGAGGGTCTCAGTGGTCTCAGGAAGTGAGCAAAGGTACTGCAGGTCCCATCATCCATCTCCAAATTTTTCCAAACAACACCAGGACGTAACGTGGGTCATGAGAGGTCTATGTGCCAAGTTT